TAAGTTCAGGGCTTTTTTCGGGCTTTATTAGTTTGCTGATACACGCCTAGCCACCCAGATAGCAAAACACAGTTCCGGCTAGATTCTCGCCTGCCGGAGACTTATCTCTTAGAGCTCAGACTGACTAATGTTACCTCTGCTGGACCTACTCCGGATGCCTGGACTCACTGCCCGATTCCAGTCCGAGTCAATCGAGCCAGATGCGGCGGCCGAGCGAGCAGGCGCTGCCGCATGCGAGCCGGAATCAGCCTGCGACGCCGCGAGTAAGTTATGCGCTTCGGCCTGGAGCTGGCGCGATTGAATATATAAAACCCTCATATTTGTTAACGTTATTACATCCATTTGTGTTGATATGACAGCAAACGCATGCTGAGAAGTTCGGGGGGCGTGGTTGATTTTACATAAAGCGTTTGATAGGAAGCTCGACTCTGCTCATTTTCACGGCTCCTCCTCTGGCTCCATCAGACAGTCCTTCTGCGCATGTCTGGCTCCAATTTCAGCAGTCTTTTGCGACAGTTTGTGCCCGTCAAGCAGGCGTTTTGCCCTCAAGGCGTTCAATGGGAAAAAGGGCTGTCGCGTCGTCCATATTTTTTACAGTCATTGCCCCAAACCAAACCCTCAAAGGAAACTATTTTAATTTTTAATTTTAAAACACCCCGTTAAGTATAGTTTTACGTTAGTGTTATGAAACTATAAGGACACAAGGTGAAACCATCTATTAAAACCACTTTATAAGAGGACAACTGAGTCATACACATGTCATTATACAGGTTGTGTCCCTGTAAAGTACATAAACCTGTACACACACACAGTCTGTTATCATATAGAACAATGGTAGATGCCAAGAAATAGAGACTTACTGTAAATGAATGGTTAATGCATAGCTAGCTGAGAAATGCACAGAGCTCGTCAATATGGAAAGTATCAATCAGATGGTGCTGTAGATTTTCCAATATGATGTGTGCACAGGTTTCGATCAATCCACTGAGAGATGAAGCATGTTCGCAGACTCTCAGAAACTTCTGGAAAGAAACTAGTCAATGTATTTGCAGAATCTGCAAGGTTTATGCATCAAATCTGTAAAAAATATGTAAAGCTGCTATGCATTTATGTAGGGCTAAAGATTTTACTGTCTACTATTAGCTATTAATTTCACTCAAGTTAAATTTAGAATGTAAATTGTATTAAAATAAATGGAAAAAAAGTATTATCTAAGTATATATGTATATAAGTATGTTCTACTTGTTTTATATTAAAATAAGTAAAAAAAATAAATAAATAAAAAGGTCATTCAAGAAAGGAAATGCAAGAAATAGTTATCAGCGTTCTGCCACTCTGGTCTTGTAAATTCTTGTTTTAGTGGCAGAGTCCAGACAATGGCTCTGTCTTGTCCTGTTTCTGTCATTGTATGTGTCTCTGTGTGCGCTCTGTGTGTCCCTGGGACACGCGCTCTTGTACTCGTGTTTGTGTTTTGTTCTGTTTCATTCTCAGTGTCTCCATCTAGTTTATTGCGGTTTTGGTTGGCGCTGAGATGAAACATGCGTGTTGCATTATGTGTGAGAACACTGTAAGGTGTTTGCATCTATCGTGTGCTTGTGTCTTGCATCTATTTGTTTTTGTGTTGTCCAAGCACATGGCTCTGTGTTTACATTGTGGCCGCGTGCTTCAGTCCTCTTATTGTGAACACGCGGTTAATGAGTTCTCTCATTGGCTACATGTTCTTGTCCCGTTTTATGTGAGCACATGGCTTGGTTGTCGCTGATTCATGTGCTCTTCTTTCTATTGTCTAGTCCCACCCTCCTTAACCCATTATTAATTAATTATGTTCATCTTTTTGTGTTAATTTACTTCTGCTTATATTCTCTTCATGTCTGCTGTCCTGTGCCAGTTCGTCGTCGTTTATACCCATGTCTTGTCGTGTTTCCAGTTCTGACCCCTTTTAACCTGCCCAGTCCTGTTTGATTGTGTATTTATTTGTTTTGGTAGTGTTTTCCCCCTCGGGGTAGTTTGTTTTGCTGCTTATTTTATTTTTGCTATTAACAAAAACCCATTTTCCTTGAATTTGAGTCCTCGCTCTGTTTCCTCAACCACGATCGTGACAATAATTTGCTCTGTATCTTAAATAATATTAATAATTAAAATAATAGATAACTTAAAATTTACATTTGATCACCCCTATAATGGTCCATACCAGTGGGATTGCATGTTTGCGCCAAAAAATATAAATTCAGCCGTTTGAAACTGGCAAATCTAGAGCACCAACAGATAGCGTAAGTGTTTTGTTCACAAAACATGTTTCTTAAAAAATAGACATTTGTACTGTAGGTGTGCGTAAAACTAGATGCATAGTTTGTATTTGATCATACACTTGCTTCCACACGGAAGTTACACAGTAAAATAAAAAGTATGTGCAGTCTTTCATGGTCATCCATTAATAGGTTTATTTAATATCACAAATGTCATTGAGAACCACTCAATATCTCTCAAAACACTGAAAACATTACAAGTTACAAGTAGGTGATTAATAAATTAGATGTAATTGAATTAAATATATAAAGTTGGTTCACTGAGGTATATTACCGAACATAATTGGAAAACTTGAACCCCCCCGACAAAAAAATACAATTAAACCAAGACATTTTAATGCATAGGGAAAAAAAATTTAAAAATGTTGTTAATAATGTGTGTGTGTTTGCTTCTCTAACAGGTCCAGTATACACAGAGATGATCAATAACTTACTCCAGCCACTTTTAAGTGCTCCAAACTGTCGTCTCATCCGACAGAACGTGTTTCACGCGTTGCCAAACACCGCAAACACACTGATCGGCCGCGCAGCTCACATCGCCGTGCTCGACTCCGAACTCTTCTTGGAGAAGTTCCTACTGGTGGCCGGACTCAATTACTTCAAGTAGATGGCATCATGCTTCAAGTTCTGCTGGAGAGCCAATCAGAGTAACGGTACATCAGCGTTTCTTTTCAGAGTTATATATTTTTTGTCAGTAAATTTGGACGCAAGAAAAAAAAAGCAATTTGAAGATTCAGACTGTAAATCAGAATACATTTATGTAAAATCTGTACAGAAAAGAACATTGTATATTATGAAAAAATAAGGAAACTGACCTGCTGGAGCTCGCCTTAACGAAGCTTTACGACGTAGTAACTTAAACGCTGAATACTTGTAACTGGAGCGTTAATCGTTTGATTGTAAATTCCGTGTGTAGATGATGTCGTTACGACAGAATTTTGGTTGTTCATTCCCTCCAGTCACCGAGCTTCATATCTACTGCGCCGTTCGTAACTTGAAGAGGTCGATATCACTGGAGATCAATACTTGAAGATTATACTTAGTATTTGAGTTTTCGCTTAATCAGTGTTTTCATCTTTCTTTTTACCGACTTATTCTAATTTAATAGTTTGTGTTCGGGCTGCACGATATTGGAAAAATATGTGATGTTGTTGAGTATTGCGATAAAGACATTTCAATATAACACTTCTCTAGAGAAAAAAAATGCAATTTTTATTTATTTATTTAAAATAAACAGGTAAAAGATACAGTTGACGTCAAAATTATTAGCCCTCCTGTGAATTATTTTCCAATAGAGCAAGGAATTTTTCACAGTATTTCCTATCATATTTTTTCTTCTTGAGAAGGTCTTATTGGTTTTATTTTGGCTAGAATGAAAGCAGTTTTGAATTTTACATATCAATATTAATAGCTCCCTTAAGCAATATATTTTTTGATTATCTACAAAACAAAACATAATTATACTATGATTTGCCTAATTAACTTACCTACTTAAGCTAATTAACCAGCTAATTAAGCCTTTAAATGTCACTTTTAAGCTGAACTCTAGTATCTTGAAAAATATCGAGTCAAATATCATGTTTCATCATGATGGCAAAGATAAAACAATCCAGATTTCAGAAATGAGTTAATAAAACTATTATGTTTAGAGATCTGTTGAAAAAAAAAAAAAATAACTTATTTTAATTAGTAGAAATTTTGGGGGAAGATATAGAGGGGGGCTAATAATTCTGGGTACACCTTTCAGCTTATATCAAAGCAGCAACTACTGGGGAGGCGGGGCTAAAGATAATAATGCCCCATATGAATTACCGACGCATAAATTAAATGCCATTGATCACAAATGTCTGTGATGCGCATTTCTGGATACAATTATCGCGATAAGGATATATTGTGCAGCCCTAGTGTGTGTTTCAGCTGTTTCATGTTGTGAAGTGAGAATCTCACTGTGAAATAAGCCAAATCCATCATGTTTTTTACATATGGCGGTAAAACTCATTGTCTTTTTCTGCAGTAAACGGGTTCATATACTGTAAGCGAATGTGATCTGAATGTGTTTACCATTTCAGCCTTAACTATAGTATGACAGAGTATTTGTTTTGTTGATTCACTTGATATGAAACGAGCCATTCACTCACTCATTGTGTCATAGCAAACAAGTTCGTTTTTCTTCCATCGAACACAAGAGTACAGCAGTGTGGAGCTTCGAATACAGTGAGGTATGAAATCGTGACTCAATCAGTCGTTACGACAAATGTTGTTTTTATTTAACTCTTTTGCTGCTGATTGATCATTACACTGAGCATCCATGGATATTCCCTTTTAAATAATAGCATTTCAAGGTCATCGCTACATTTTTGAGTTTGCATGGGTTTTTGGATAAAACTGTCAACAGTTTTATCAACGAAAATGTGTTTTTACAGCAGGGGAAATAAGTATTGAACGCGTCATGTTTTTTTTAAAATGGGAATAATCTTTATAAAGGAGCTTTTAACGTGGAATCAAACCAGATTTTTTTTCGAAACCCAAACTATACAAACATAAAAAAAATAAAAATAAAAAATCTGAAAAAAATTATGTTTAATAAGAATGAAATGACACAAGAAAAAAACTACTGAATGCTTTATGTAAAAAGCTTTTTTGTGATGGCAGCTTAAAAAGAAATTGAAGTCATGGAGGTTAAAGTCACATGCATTGCTCAGGATGTAAAAATCTTGATGGTTCTGTGGGCCTCATTTATCAAATCTGATTTTTATTTTGTATTCTCAATTGGATTCAAGTCAGGTAATTGGCTGGGCCATTCTACAGCATGATTTTTTTTCTCTGGAAGCATTCACGAGTTTTCCTGCCTGTGTTTTAGATCATTGTCTTGCTAAAATGTCCACCCTGCTTTCTTCTTCATTCTCCTGGTAATGTAGTTGTTGGGCTGTAGCAGCGGATATTAATTTTGAGGAAGGGCAGGGGGTTGCTGATTAACTACTGAGAGATTTCAGTTGCTGTCTGGGTTTTCAATGGCTTTCTACACCTTCCTTTCTTCATGTGTACTTTTTCCCCTGCATTATTTATTAGCACATAACTTCATTTGTAAACTAATTAGATTTGTTTTCTTTGCATATATGGATTTCTTTGGTTGCTGTCAACATCTGGTGAAAAAAGTCAACGGCACCTTTAGAAATATGTTTTCTGAGTAAAATGGTGACGTGTTAAATATTTATTTTCCCCGCTGTATGTGAAACCCCTTTTTATGTGAAACCCCATTTTGTTTCAAAAGCACGTTTGACTGTAAATTGAGATCAAGTGTCCCAATGTTGATTGTGGTTGTTTCCCTTTTGTGTTTGATTTACGTTTTTGTGTGCTAATGGTTGACTATGCGTCTGCGCAATGTGAAATGAGCGAAACTGTTTAAATCCCCATGCCCTTGTGTTGACAAGACACTGCTTTTGCTCTTTTCTGATCCATTTTACCATGTCTTATTTCCTACACAAATATTAATATGAAAATTATATAATCAGTCATAATTATAAAAAACTTTCATTGCGTACTTTACTTTTTTTTTTATTTAAAGCCTTTTAAAATACAATTTCTCCTTTGGCAAGTCGGGGTTATTCGACCAAAAATATTACTTTCCTTACTTTTCAAAGTAAAAGATTAGTATTTAGTTTTCTAAAAATTATGTACAAATGTCATTTTTGTTGTTGTAATTGATTAACGATTTTTTTTACTCTATGAAAAACGTCAGCAACTATGTGTGTGCGCATTATGAAATGAATGAAACAGTTTCAAATTTCATGTCCTAGTGTTAACATTGCACTGTTTTTGCTCTTTTCCAATCCATTTTACCACATCGTGTCTTATTTACCACGCTGATAATCATATGAAACCAATATATTATAATATAACAATCATTCATTCATTTATTTTCGGCTTAGTCCCTTTATTAATCCGGGGTCACCACATCGGAATGAACCGCCAACTTATCCAGCACATGTTTCAAGCAGCGGATGCCTTTCCAGCCGCAACCCATCTCTGGGAAACATCCATACACACAAAATTTACACTCATACACTACGGACAATTTAGCCTACCCAATTTAATATAACAATCATAATTACTAAAATCTTTCATAATGCACTTAAATTGTCATTTAAAGCATTTTAGCAACACTTTTTTTTTTTTTTGAGATAGCAAATCAGGGTTAATCCACCAAAAATATAATTTTTTTCCCTTTTTAAGTTAAAAAATGGTATTTAGTCATCTAAAAATGAAGTAAAAAAATTATTTAATGTTGTTATTGATTTACGTTTATTTATTTTTTTTTACTCTATGAAAACTATTTGCGTCCGAAATTGCGTACTTCCAAACTATTTCGTACGGTAAAAACAGTATGCGAGCGGAGTAGTATGTCCGAATTTATAGAATTCGAAAAACAGTATGGTCACATGATCATGACAAAATGGCGAATGTAGCACGCTCGAGTTCCATCCATACTACTGACATTTATACTGTAGAACGTACTTTTCTAACAGCCGAGTAGTCCATTTAAATTCAAATGCAGTACCTACTGTGTAGTAGACAATTTCAGACACAGCCTATGTGTGTGCGCATTATGAAATGAATGAAACAGTTTCAAATTTCATGTCCTAGTGTTAACATTGCACTGTTTTTGCTCTTTTCCAATCCATTTTACCACATCGTGTCTTATTTACCACGCTGATAATCATATGAAACCAATATATTATAATATAACAATCATTCATTCATTCATTTTCTTTTCGCCTTAGTCCCTTTATTAATCCGGGGTCACTACAGCGGAATGAACCGCCAACTTACCCAGCACATGTTTCAAGCAGCGGATGCCTTTCCAGCCGCAACCCATCTCTGGGAAACATCCATACACACCCATTTACACTCATACACTACGGACAATTTAGCCTACCCAATTCAATATAACAATCATAATTACTAAAGTCTTTCATAATGCACTTAAATTGTCATTTAAAGCATTTTAGCAACACTTTTTTTTTTTTTTGAGATAGCAAATCAGGGTTAATCCACCAAAAATATAATTTTTTTCCCTTTTTAAGTTAAAAAATGGTATTTAATCATCTAAAAATTAAGTAAAAAAAATATTTAATGTTGTTATTGATTTACGTTTTTTTTTACTCTATGAAAACCATTAGCATCCGAAATTGCATACTTCCAAACTATTTAGTACGGTAAAAACGAGCGGAGCGGAGTAGTATGTCCGAATTTATAGAATTCGAAAAACAGTATGGTCACATGATCATGACAAAATGGCGAATGTAGCACGCTCGAGTTCCATCCATACTACTGACATTTATACTGTAGAACGTACTTTTCTATCAGCTGAGTAGTACATTTAAATTCAAATGCAGTACCTACTGTGTTGTAGACAATTTCAGACACAGCCTATGTGTGTGCGCATTATTAAATGAACGAAACCGTTTAAATCCCCACGCCCTTGTGTTAACATGACACCGTTTTGCTCTTTTCTGATCCATTTTACCACGTTACCACATCTTGTCTTGTTTACCGCACTGAATCCTCCTAAAATGCCCAGGATTTGATCTCCTCACTGACGCACATGCTTAGTTTCCCCCACAAAGCTGTTGTTCCGCTGTCTGCTCCTCAAGGTTAACACTTACAAACATCTCATGCCGCCACACCTCGGCTTTTCAGCCCCTTCAGCATCTTTTTTAGCTCTTTTGTTTGTCAGCGACTGGCTTCAGATCAGCGCTGCAATGTCAGCACAGTTTTTTTTTTTTTTTTTTTTTTTTTTTTTAGCAGATGCCCTTTCTGTCTCCGCTGAGCTTTTATGTATGTGTCGACTGACGCGTGATTGGTCGGTAAATACGCTGTCATGGTGATTGACACTGATTAAGCCCCGCCTCCCCGCAGCCGAAGGAGCCATCAGGGATAATAACGGCCCATTACCCAACATGCTCTGCTGCACTGGGGTCTCGGCATGCTTGTTTGTTTGTTTGCTGGCTAATGTGGGAGTTTGCTCACACTAGTCAAGCATATTAATTACAGAAAAAGAGCTGATCTGAAGTGTGAACACTGACCAAGGGCAAAGGCATATGATTGTGTGCAAATTACAGCCACTCGAGTGCTGTTAAAAACACCGTATTTGACTCACTGCTGTTATATAATCAATCATAATTATTGGAGTTTTTCATAATATGTATTTTTTTTTGACATTAAGAACATTTGATATATTTTTCTCTTTGTTGTGATTGCAAATCAAGGTTTTGTCATCACAAATATAACTTTTCATCACAAAAAAAAGTTAAAATATTGGTATTGAGTGTTCTAAAAATTAAAAAACATGTCTGAAAACATGCCATTTTTGATATTTTTATATACATATTATACAAGTACAAATAATAAAATAAACAATATATATATATATATATATATATTTAATGTAACATAATTAATTTGATTACATTTAATTGAATACATTTTAATAATTTTTTGCAAACATAAAACATCAATTTCACAAAAATATTGACAAAACATCTAAATATGTATTTTAAATGTAATTTACTTTATTTGTATTTAAAGTAATTACATTAAAAATTCAATTCAACTGAAATTTTATTTTTGTGAATCAAACACATCAATTTCACTAGGTATTGGCAAAGCATCTAAAATATATATTTTAATGTAATTTAATTAATTTGTAATAAATAAACTACTTTTTGCAAATCATAAAACACATCAATTTCACTAATATAGGCAAAACATTTAAATATTAATTTTATTGTAATTTAATTTGTATTTAATTTAAATTATATTAAATACAATATTTTTTTATGCAAATCATATCAAACATTAATTTTACTAATATTGGCAAAACATCTACATATATATTAAAGTATATTTATTATTTATTTAACTTGTATTTAATTGAATTAATTTGTATTTAATTAATTTGTATTTAATAAAATGTTATATTTTTCATGCAAAGTATATAAACACACCACTTTACGAACATTGGCAAGAATTTAAATATGTATTATTAATGTGATTTAATCAGTCACAATTAATCACAATCACATAATTCAAATTATATTAAATTTAATATTTTTTGCGAATCATATCAAACATAAGTTTATATATGTATGTGTATATATATATATATATATATATATATATATATATATATAGTGATTTAATAAATAATTTATTTAAATTAAATTAATTTGTATTTAATTAAAAACATTGCATAAACACATCAATTTCAGTAATATTGGCAAAATATCTAAATAAGTATTTTTAATGTAATTTAATTAATTTGTATTTAATTTAACTGAAATGTAATTTAATTTAATTTTTTTAATTAAATCACCGTTTTATATATATTTTTTTATATTCTATTTTAATTTAATTTACTTTAACATTTGCAAATATCTGCAGTATTTGACCAGAAAAAAACATTGATCAGGCTACTTACAAATCTTATCTTTCTGTGGATGAGCATGTTTTTTGGATCCCAAACATATAATTTCACAATCCAGTCCCGAAATACGAAGTCCCGTCTGGTTGAACGTGCTGTTGAGCTCAGAAATACGGTGTGTCAGATTTGGTATATTAAAAACAATCATGAATTTCATAACAACATTTCAATTAACATTATAATTTCCAGTGTCTTTAGTTTGATAATATCAGTAACAGATGTCAACAACACACAACTCTCATTCAACAATCATGTTTTCAGACATTTAGTAGTTTCCTCAATTTACAGCCATTTATTTCCAGCATACGTTTGTGTTTTCATCCTGTGTATTAAGCCATGAATGTGAAAACAGACGACGATGTGTTCACTGTGAGACTGTAACGTGTTCGTATGGGTTTGTTTTTTCTCCAATGTGTATCATCACATCTGTGCCAACGATATTCTGATGTTTTTTCTATGTTTGCTTTAATTGCTGTGTGTCCTCTGTAGTAGCTTATGCCCAAATATATAAATAAGTATATATTATGTGTACATTAAGAGATATTACATTATATTATGATCAAATGAAGTATTACAATAAATAGTATTCTTCTTTTAAAAGTAGACTCTGCCTCTTTGTTTGTTGTTGTGTGATTATTGTTTGATTAGATGTAGCCCGTTTAAAAAAAGGATGAGTTTTATTGACCAATCGTGTCAGATTTTCCATGATTGGTTAGGTTAAAACAAACTTAGTTTTGATTGTTCTGTTAGTACATTTTATTTGAACGCTACCATACAGACTGTCTAGGTCAGGAGTCACCAACCTTTTGGAAACTGAGAGCTATTCTTGGGTACCGATTAGTATGAAGGGCTACCTGTTATTAAATCACACATTTTTCTTAATTTACTTTTAATTATATGTAATTATTAATAATTAATAATATTCATCTTTGTGAAGACATTGATCATGTTAATGATTTCTCTCAGTAGTTGTCAACAATGATTTAACAAGGTAGATAAATATCAATATGCAACACTTCATTTGTCTGAAATTGTTTTTAAAGTTTTTTTTATATATATATATAACTTAAAGTAATTTTCAAATTTACACCAATGCAAGTGTGATTAAAAAAGAATACCTATAAAAATATTAGATGCAGCTTACTCTTATGTGGTGCTATGGTAAGCTATTTTCTAGAAGAGGCCTGCGGGTAACTCATATGAACCTGACGGGCTACCTGGTGCCCACGGGTACCATGTTGGTGACCGCTGATCTAGGTCAAATTCAAAGAAACTCTGGTACAGTTTGATTAAAATATGAACACAGACCAAAAGCAAACAAAAAATGTATTGTGTGCTAGCGTGGTACTTAATTAAGACTTTGTTATCTTTATATGTACAGTTGAAGTCAGAATTATTAGCCTTTTGATTTTTTTTTCTATTTTAAATAT